AAAAAAAAAAAAAAAAAAGATCAGCCCTGTGCAGCGGAACATGCCTAAAATTTCAGCTATTCAGCAGGCAGAGGAAAATTTCCAGTTTGAAGCTAGTAATTTAGCAATTTAAGAAGACCATGCCTCAAAATGAAAAAAGGGCTGGGGTAGCTGAGCATGGTGGTGCAAACCTGTAATCCCAGCACTCAGGAGGCTGAGGCAGGAGGATCATCATGAGTCTGAACCTAGTCTGGACTACATAAGTGAGTTCAAGGCCAGCCTGAACTGCATAGGGAAACCCTGTCTCAAAAAAAGGAAAGAAGGAAGGAAGGGAGGGAGAGAGGGGGGGAGGGAGGAAGGGAGGAAGGAAGAAAGAGAAAGAGAGAAAGAAAGGAAGAAAGGAAGGAAGGAAGGAGAGAAGGAAGGAAGGAAGGAAGGAAGGAAGAAAGAAAGGAAGAAAGAGAGAAAGAAAGGAAGAAAGGAAGGAAGAAAGAAAGAAAGAAAGAAAGAAAGAAAGAAAGAAAGAAAGAAAGAAAGAAAAGAAAGAAAAGAAAGAAAGAAAAAGAAAAAGAAAAAAAGAAAAAGAAAAAAGGGCTGGGGTGTTGCTCAGTAGTTAAGAGCATATGTTTTGCATGTCTGAGGTCCTAGGTTTGATTGTGAACATCACCAAAAAATAAAATGTTTTATATTGGTTGCATTTTATTTGTGTAAAATTAGGGCTGAGGATGTAGTTCAGTGGCACAGCACTTGCTTAGCATGCACAAGTTCAATCCCTCGTATTATTCACCCAAGTGCATTTTATTCCTCCTGTACTAAGGATCAAACCCAGAACCTTCACATAGAGCTATATCACTAGACCTTCTTGAAACCGGGTCGAGCACGGTAGCACACACCTGTAATCCCAGCCCTCAGGAAACTGAGGCAGAAGGATCAATGAGAGTTCAAGGCCAGCCTGGGCTACATAGCAAGACCCTGTTTCAAAAAACAAACCAACCAAAGACAAGACAGCATCCCCCTTGTGACCCTCCTGCCTCAGCCTACCATAGTACTGATTCATTCTGTGCTACCACATCTGGCTCTAGCTCTTTTAGTTCCTTGAGGAAGCAAAACTACCATGTTGTCAGTTGCCTCACAGGCAAACTTCACCAGAATTGAGGGTGCCTCTACTTACAGCCACTGAAGAACTATTCAACAGGCTGCAGGAAACTGAATGCTTCCAATAACCACATGCAAGCAGGGCTGATCTTCCCTGGTTGAAGCTTCAGAGGGGCACTCAGTCCAAGCCAACACTTCCACTGTGCCCTCAGGATACTTGGAATTTGAGGACCCAGGGGGCTACTTGGATTCCTCACCCAAAAAGCATGAGAGGTAATGAATGTGTGTTTTTAGTCACTAAAATAGTGGGAATTTGTTAACCAGGCATAGATACTAGCATAGTACACTTACCTGGATCCCAGAACAGAAAAGCTATTACTGGAAAAGTTGATGAAATCCAAATAAAGTCTGCAGCTGAGTTACTAGAACCTTGCCAACGCTATTTTCTTCATTGCTAAACACACCATGTCGGACAGGCCAAGGGTGTAGCTCAAGGGTAGAGCACTTGCCTAGCATGAGTGAGGCCCTGCATTTTTTCCTTTTGTTTTTACTCTTTATTTTTTTGAAACAGGGCCATGTTACACAGTTCAGGCTGGTTTATTATTTATAGATGTGGTTTTGCTGTGCAGTTCACGCTGGCTTTAAACTATGTAGCCCAGACTGGCCTCAACCTCATGGCGATCCTCCTGCCTCAGCCTCCTGAGTGTTGGGATTATAGGCATGAGTCACCACATCCAGCATCACTTTCTGACCAATGTTCCTCTGGAATGTCAGGTGAAATAACTTCAACTGTGAGACCACTGTCTGGCAGGTCCTCTGGAGGACTGATTACTTCTGCTTGCAGTTGGTTTTCTTCCAGGCCCTCTTCAGATACAAATTTCCTCATTCATCCCTCTCCAATAGGTTCCTCACAGACTTTTATCCCTCGACACCAGGGAGGCTGAGGCAGAAAGATTGCTAGTTGGAGGACAGCTTGGACTACAGTGAGACCCTGTCTCAAAAATAACAAACAAGACAGGAGACTCTGCCAAAGTTAAAAGCGCATCAAACACGCCTAGCATTTATTTTAATCACAAATCTATAGCCCCCTCAGTATACCCTCCTCGGGGCCTGGCCCCAGCAAACCAAAGCTGATGACCTTGCATGTAGGTGGTATGAGGGGTGAGAAGGGGTGGGGAGTGTCTCTTGAGAACTCTGAAATGGGGGGGGTCCTCCAAATGGAGGTGAGGGCCAGTTTCCGGGTGACCTAGCTTCTGAGTAGACGGAAACCAATAAAAAAATCAGATAAGGGCTGGGGATTTAGCTCAGCGGCACAGCGACTGCCTAGTAAGGGTAAGGTCGTGAGTTTAATTCCCGGTACAGGAAGGAAAAAAAAATCAGATAAACAAATGGGGGGTACAACATGTATTTGCAACCTTTCCTCCAAACCTCTGCCTTGTAAAAAACTTCTATTTTCCCAGGCTGGGGAATCCCTTTTGTGCCATTCTGCAAGTTTAACTGGTTTTGGGCACCCTGGAAGGGATCTCCACTAATCCCCCATCCCTGCCCCCAAACTGCCCCTCAAGGAATCAGGCAGATGTGTGCCCAAGCATGGGGGCCTAACTCTCAATCTAGATGTAGGTCTGGGAAGCCAATCCACAGTTCACAACCTGTCCCCTCTGGGACAGCAAGGTCAGTGCAGAGGTGTCCTGGGTCGGGTCAGGTCGGTTGGTCCAGAGTGAAGGCGGGGAGCCGCAGTGCTGCTCCTCCCCGCAGTGTGGAATGTTCACATGGGATGCTGCTAAGGGCCAGAGGCAGGGTGGTGGTCTCTGGGTGTGTGGGGGGTAGGCTGATCCTACTCTTTCCTCCACACCTGAAACTCCTGCGCTGGGCTTTTCCTGTAGGGAATGGGTGGGGCTGAGCCTCCATTCCCAGAAAGCCAGCACTGGGTTCCCAGGGACACCAGGAAGGGACAAGGCTTAAATCCATAGGGGTGGGACCTCTACAGCTAGAGCAGTGGTGGCGAACCTATAGCAGATGTGCTGCAGCAGGCTGTTTGTTATCACTGAAAGCTCTAAAAGGTTCACCATCCCTGATCTAGATTCTTCTTCCAGTGCCTGCATGGGCTGGACAGATGGTTCTCAAAGAAAGGATGGAGCAACACCCTAAACATCTATTCCTAGGAGACCTGGCTAGGCTGTTCTTTAGGTGACAGAAGTGAGACCTCATCCTGTGTCTCCTTTCCTTACTGATCTCACAGGCTTCTCCTACCTTTTCCCTCGGAAATACCTGCCTGGCTTGTTCCTTTGGGGAAGGGGCGGGGCCACATGACTCCTCCCTCTCGCCTATTACTGGGCGGGCCTGATCGCATCTCTTCCCCCAGAATTCCTGGGCAGGGCAGTTTCACGGGAGGGTGGGGGAAAAGGCGGAGCCTCATCCTCACAGGTCCTCCTTTCCCGGGTGGGGGAAGTCCCAGAGGAGAAGCGAGGCCTGATCAGGACTCCTCCTCCATGCTGAAGCTGCTGCGGCGGCTGCTGGCCTTGGAGACAGCCGGGGATACTGAAGACAACAGGGGGTCAGAGGCAGCCCGAAGTGGGGACAGGGCACCCCCTGACAACCCTCCCACCACCCCCTCTTCCTCTTCCATTAGAATGTCCTCCAGCCCCAGGTGGAAAGGGTCCCCCAGGTCTCCCAGGTGGTCGCTGGGAAAGTGCAGGTCCAGAAGAGCATCCGAGGGCGGTGCTGGGGGCTGCTGCTGAGGAGCACTCTGGACAGGTCCCCCTGCTACGTGAAACGTTGCTGTACTTGGCCTGCCCTCCTCCTCAACGTCCAGCTGCTCCGGCTTGAGGCTGTCGGAGGCCGAGCTTGTGGCCATGGAGAGTAGCCCTGGGGTGGGAGGCACTGGCAGACCGTGAATCTGGGCCTGCAATTCTAGCTCCTGCAAAAAGTAAGGGATGGGTACAAAGTAAGACAGGTTCACAGTCTCTCAGAGGCAGAGGAGGGTACCACTTAAACAGGACAGATCACACAGCTTCCAGTTCAGCTTCTGCCACTCACTAGTTTTGGAACTTTATGCAAGTAACTTAAACTCTTTGAGCCTCAGTCTCAAACCTGTGAAATGAGCACAATAATAGTATGGGTGTTGTTAGGAGCCAGGTGTGGGTGCCTATAATCCCAGTACTGGGGAAGCTGAGGCAGGAGGAGCACCATGAGTTCCAGGTCACCCTGAGCTACATAGTTGAGTTCAAGGCCAGCCTGGACTACACAGCGAGACTCTAGTCTTAAAAATACACGTATGGGTATTATAAGAATAAAACAAGTTAGCTCTTGTCACAAGACAGACACTATGTACATCAACTAATAGCTACTGGTATTATTATTAAAGTTATGACAATCGCTTATAATCACTGTCACATATAAGTTAGGAAGCTGGGAGATGCCAAGCATGCCAAGAGGCCCTGTCACCCCTGCTACCACCTCCTCCTTGCAGACCTGAATCCGGAGCTGCAGACTGCGGTTGGCTTGCTCCAGAGATCTCTGCCGGATCTCCAGATCCTTGGAGCGCTGCTGTTCCTTCTGCAACTTTCGGATGTAATCCACAGAGGCCTTCAGGATGGTACCCTTGTTCCAGCGCATCTCCCTGTGGGACCAAGGGGAGGAAAGATGGAAGGACTGCATGTGGAATCTCTCAGGAGCTGAGGGGGGATTGCACAAGGCAGACTGGAGCGCCCCAGCATGTGCTTGAGGGGTACACCAAGGGTATGGAAGGATCAGGCAAAGCCTTGTGCTTGGAACCTTCCATTGGTGACCATCACACCCAAAACCTGACCCTTCTGCCTTTTCTGATACCCATGTCCCTCTGATTCATCTCACTACAGCCATACTGGTCTCATATTGCTTCTATTTATTCATTTTTGGTTTTTTGAGATGGGGGTCTTGCTATGCAGTTTAGGCTGGCCTTAAACTTACCATGTAGCTCAGGCTGCCCTCAAACTCACAGTGATCCTCCTGCCTCAGCTTCATGAATGCTGGGACTATAGGTGTATGCCACCACATATTTTTATTTTGTCTTTCTTGAGACAGGGTCTCACTATGCAGCTCAGCCTAGCCGGGAGCTCACTTTGTTGCCCAGGCTGGTCTCCAACTCACAACGATCCTCCTGCCTCAGCCTCCTGAGTGCTGGGATTACAGGCGTGCGCCACCACGCCTGGCCACATATTGGTTTTATAACACAGAAAATCATTCCCATCTCAGCACCCCTGTACTTGCTATGCCCTGTCTAGAATACTCTGCCAGACCACCGTGTGATCCCTGTTGGCCTCCTTAGGTTCCTCCCTATGCCCTGTGCTAGGGAATCACCAGGGTGTCACACACGCTAAGCAAGTGCTCTACCACTGAGCTGCACTCCTAGCCCCAAACTTGGGCTCTTTATTAAAATATTTCCTCGTCCCGTGAGGCCTGCCCTGTCCCATCCTCTGTACCCTACTCTGTCACCCTCTCCAACAGCCGTCTTTTTTCCGTTCTTCACTCTTCTCCATAACACTCAGAACAGACATCGTACATTTTACTTATATATCTTGTTTATGGTCCGCCTCCACTAAAGCAACAGTTTCATGAGGTCAAGGGACTTTTGTTTTATTCCCTGTAGTACCCTCAATGGCGTGCCTGATAGCTGGCCCAAAGCCAAAGCTCCATGAAGAGCTCTGGAACAAACAAAAGAATAAATAGGAAATGAGAGGCACACGTCCTATAGGAAGCAGACGGGTGCTCGCGTCAGCAGCACATATACTAAAGGTGAAAGCAGATGAGACACACAAACCGTAACATCACACACTTAAAATCTGAGGTAGGGACACGGTGAGGGGCTGCAACCCCTTTCGGTCTGAGGAAGACCAGAGAACTGCTGCCTGGTTGAGATGGCCTGGGGGGCCTGAGGAACAGCTGCTGTGGCACAGGGCACCCACCCCTCCCACTGGTCTGCGACCCCAGCCCCGGACTCACGGGTCATTGGACTTGGGGATGAGGGTGCCAAGCTCCTTGATCCTATCGTTAATGTTGAATCGCCTGCGACGCTCAACTTTGAAGGCAAGGGGAGAAACAGAGCAGGAAATAGTTGTCAATAGACAAAGAAGGGAGAGAGAAACTGGGGTGCTGTAGGCTGTTAGGGTGGTCCCCACGAAGGGAGACCTGGACACACGAGAGCACGGATGGCTGGGCAATGCATGAGTGAATGCACGCGCGCTGGGGCTTACTCAGGTTGTGATTGTCTTTCTTCTGCCTTTCCTTCAAAAGGGCCTTAGCCTCGGTTTCTGAAAGAAAGTGGGGGTGTTCAGGGCTGGTAACACAGGAAGGAGGGAGTAGGTGCATGTGCGGAGGGGCAGGGGACAAACTGTTTTTCTTTTTTTTGGTAAAACTGGGAATTGAACCCAGGACCTCCCCACTGCATCTTCAGTCTTTCTTATTTTTTTTTTTTTTTTGTCTTTTTGAGACAGGGTCTCACTATGCAGTTCAGGCTGGCCTTGAGCTCACTTTGTAGCCCAGGCTGGTCTCAAACTTGCAACAATTCTCCTGCCTCAGCCTCCCGAGTGCTGGGATTATAGGTGTGTGCCACCACGCCCAGCTCCCTTTTTTAATTTTGAGACAGGGTCTCACTAAGTCACTAAGTTGCCCAGGCTGGGCCTCAACTTGTGATCCTCCTGCCTCCACCTCCTAAAGTTGTTTTGTTTTTGTTTTTGGTTTTTTAAAGAAATGGGATGTTGCTGTGCTGCTTAGACCGGCCCTGAATCCTTGGGCTTAAGTGATCTTCCTGCCTCAGCCTCTCAAGTAGCCGGGATTACAGGTGTGCATCACTGTGCCGGGCTCAAAGTAGCTTTTAAATTTAATTATTATTATTAATATTATTACTGTAGTACTAGATAGAGATCGAACACAAGGCCTTTGCACTGAGCTATGTTGGTCTTGAACTTGCAATCCTCCTTCTTCAGCCTCAAAGTGCTGAGAATACAGATATGTACTGCCACACTTGGCTAGAAGTGACTTTAAAAAAAAAATGCCTTGTCTATCCTTCTAACTATTTGTGAAGCCATTGAGCCATATGGATAAATAGGGGAACTGCTTGTTCCTTTTTCTTTGTTTGCAATGCTAGGGGTCAAATCCAGGGCTTTGAACAAGCTAAGCAGGTGCTCTACCATTGAGTTACACCCCAGCCCATTTCTTTGTTTTTTTTTCCAGACAGGCTATTACTATGCAGTTCAGGCTGGCCTTGAACTCACTATGTAGCCCAGGCTGGCCTCAGACTCACAAGGATCCTTCTGCCTCTGCCTCCCGAGTGCTGGGATTACAGGTGTGTGCCACCATGCCCAGCTGCCCAGCCCGTTTCTAAAATGCTCAAACCCCTTCCCCCAGAATCAGGTCCATCCCCTGACCTGGCAGGCATAGGGCTCAGCCAAAGATACAGGGTGCGGGCATGGAATCAAGACCCTAGCACTTACCAGAGATTTCCCGTTTGATGTTGGGCAGCTCGGCTGGGCAGGAGTTGCTGACAGTGATGGCTGATGTGGCCACACCCTGACTACTGTACACATCAAGCAGGTTCCCTGACACAGGCAGCTGGGGGCAGTGAGGGCACAGAAACAACGGTTGGGAACAGGTCCTAGGCTTAGTCTCTCTTCAGAACCAGGCTCCTGACCCTCCACACACCCTCCAAAATTGGGGCCCTCTGACACAAAGAATGTGTAATTCCTAGGAACCTTTCCTTTTCGCAGTACTGGGGATTGAACACAGAGCCTTCACACTAAGCTGTATTCCCAGTCCTTTTTATAAAATTTACTTTTTTTGAGACAGGATCTTGCTATGTAGTTCAGGCTGGCTTTCAATCCACTGTGATCTTCTTGCATCAGCCTTCTAAGTCCTGGGATTACAGATTGGGTTTTGTTTTTTAAAATTTTGAGACAGGGTCTAGAAAGTCAAATTGTTCAGGCTGGGTTCAAGCTTTTGATCCTCCCGCTTCAGGTTCCCGGACTGCTGGGATTATAGGCATGTGCCACTACACCCAGCTCCTTCTCCTTTAAAGGCAATTTCAGGTGACAGCCCAATGGGGGGCACAGCAAAGTGGACCTTCCCTTCCTGGCCTGGGGATCTAAGCCTGCCTCACATGCGCAGCAGCCCCATCCGGCTCCTCAGATCTCTTCGTGGCCTCCAAAGCCCCACTCCTAAACCCCAGGGATGGCTCTGAGGAGAAATGCTGGAAGACCACTGCTCTCAGGTCTCTGTCGCCTCTGATGTGACATTCCAGTCTATTTAGCTCCTCCCAGCACAATATTCAGATCCAACATTCTTGGAATACTCCAAAGCAATCTTCTCAGACCTTGGTAAATTGTCATGGCAACATTCCATCCAAAATCTGGCCTTCTAGAGATTTCTAACCTAATCTCCAGTCCTTCACGGTGATTGAATCCTACCACCACATGAAGCTGGTCTCCTGCCGCCACATACCATGATCCTGACTCCAGTACCTTCCTGCACATTCTGATCTCTCAGGATGTCTTGTTGAACTATTTAACGATTAGCTGTCCTTTCATGTTGGCTTAAGTGTTTTCCTCTGCTTCACACTATCCTGGCCATATTCTAGCACAACACACTAATATGTAAGTATACCCAAGTCCCACCTCTCAGTGAGTTTCTGTCTTCAAACCTGCTCCTATTTGCAGACTCCAAAAGAAAATCCTGCTGGCATCATTGTTTGTTTATTTTTGTTTTTGTAGTGCTGTGATGCTAGGTAAGCACTGTACCACTCAGTTACATCCCCAGCCCCAAACTGGTACTGTTTTTTTGGGGTTTTTTTGGTAGTACTGGGGACTGAACCCAGGGCCTTTGCACTAAGCTATACCCCAGCCTTTTTTTTCACTTCCTAACTTTTGAGACAGGATCTCACTAAGTCCCTAAATTGCCTGGGATAGCCTCAAACTTGCCATTCTTGCTGGCCATGTTGGTACATGCTTATGGTTCAGCACTTGGGAAGCTGAGGCAAGGGGATCACTGTGAATTTAAGGTTAGTCTGGGCTACCCAGTGAGTTCAAGGCTAGCCTGAACTACATAGTGAGACCCTGTCTCAGAAAACCAAAACAAAGACCAAAACCAAAAAACAAACAAAAAAACTCCTTGCCATCTTCCTGTCTCAACCTCCCAGAGTGCTGGCATTATAGACATGTGCCATCACACCTAGCTCCAGCCCTTTTTGTTTTGACATAGGCTCTTAAATTTCTCAGGCTGGCCTCCCTTGAACTTGCAATCCTCCTGCCTTAGCCTCTGGAGTAGCAAGGATTACAGATGTGTACCACCATGCCTGCTTCAATCCTCCTGAAAAGGGGGAAGAAAAGCAAAGCTATAACTACTGATGTATTCCAAAGCAAGTTGTAAGATTCTTAGAATATTCCAGAATCAGAATGTTACAATGGCACACACTATAATCCCAGCACTTGGGAAACTGAGGAAGGAGGATTGCCCCAAGTTTGAGACCAGCCTGGGCTACACATCGAGTTCAAGGCCAGCCTGGACTACATAGCGAGAGCCTGTCTCAAAAAAAAAAGTTACAGTGGTACATTTCTTTCTTTCTTTTTTTTTGTTTTTTGTTTTTTTACAATGGTACATTTCTTTCTCTAGAAAGTTTTATCTACTTTCCTCAAGAATCTAATCTCTTGACCTAGTTCAATGCAAAACACTTGCTACATTTCAATCACAAGTTTAACCATGTGTTATACTCTACATCACGTTTTGAGCCTTTTGTATGTCTCTGTCACTACATGGTCTGGGTATGGCCCAATGGCCTGTCTGTTGGGACAGTTGTTATATGATGCCCATGTCTTGGCATGCATTTCCCATAGCAAAGCCTGAGCACTCTGACATGAGCTCACACCTCCATCGACTGCCTACCCACATACATCAGTCTGCAAAGGCCGCCTCTCAATGCGGTAGTGCACAAAGTGCAGGGCAATGGCATGTTCCACTCTCATCACCCAGCTTCCCTCCTGTGTCAGTGCTAGGGTCTCAGACAGCCAGCATGGGTGTAGTCTTAGTGACAGAAGATGCCCTTGTTTTCAGCCCAACCTCCCATCTCCGGGCCTCACCGTGCTGGGGAGCTGCAGCCCTGTGGTGCCTCCAGGCAGATAGCTGAGCATCTCATCGTTGTAACTGGACTCCAGACTGATGATCTCATCAATGACATCATCAATCTAGGGAAGAAATACACATTGTACAGGGCAAGAAGAACCAGAAGGGGAGGCTGGGGGTGCAGGTAGCTGAGTGGTAGAGCACTTGCCCAGCAAAAAAATTGGAACAAGGGCATGAGGGGGTTGTCTATAGCCTCCTACCTCCTTCTCTGAGCTGGACCCAATGGTGAGCAATGCCATGGGGCTGTTAGGAGCACTGCCTGTGGGGCCAGTGGCATGGGCAGCCTCAGGAGCAGGCAGTGGCTGGGCACTTGTGGGCCCAGGCGGTGGAGTGAGGGCCTGGGAAGCCAGCTTGGGCCCAAGTGTGGTGGACAGGTACTGTTTCACTTGCTGCCGGCGTGCTTGCTGCAGGTGGTAGCGTGTTGGATTCTCCAGGTGGGTCTGCACCTGTGAGATAAGAGGGATGGGGAGAGGAGGGGACAAGGTAGAAAAGGGTAAATGGCATGACTCTAGGCTCCAGCCTCATCCTTCTATCCAATCTGTTCCTAGATTCATGTGGGCAGCCTGGGCCGAGAATTTGAAAAGCACTCAAAAATACTGGTGACTAGGTATGGTAATGCACGCCTGCAATCAAAGAACTAAGGGAGGCTGAGGCAGGAGGACTGCAAATTTGAGTCCTGCCTGGGCAATTTAAGTGAAATCTTTAGCCGGGCGTGGTGATGCACGCCTGTAATCCCAGCACTCTGGAGGCTGAGGCAGGAGGATCGTCGTGAGTTCGAGACCAGCCTGAGCTACAAAGTGAGCTCAAGGCCAGCCTGAACTACAGAGCAAGACCCTGTCTCAAAAAGACAAAAAACAAAAAAAATTAAGTGAAATCTTGTCTCAAAATGAAGTAGGGAAAAAAAAAAAACAACAAAGTGGGGGACTGAGGATGTAGCTCAGTGGTAGAATGCTCCTGGGTTTGATCCCCAGTCCTACAAAATAATACTAATAAAATAAAAAAATAATTTTTTGAAGTACTAAGGACTTGAACCCAGGGCCTGAACACTGTGTTATATCCCCAGCACTTTTTATTTTTTGTTTAGTTTGAGACAAGGTCTTGGCTAAGTCCCTTAGCTGCCCAGGTAATCCTCCTGCCCCAGCCCCCAGAGTGCTCAGATTACAGATATGCACTACCATGCCTAGCAAAAACATATAAAAATATTGGTAAGTCTGCTCATGGACCCAAATTCTCTTTCTCAGAAATCCTTCACAGCCCCTGAAATTCACCCATTTGATAGAATCTTTCACAGTAGAGCCCCTTATCACAGACCCAAGATTCCACCCTAGTCTGTGATACCACCGAAGATACCTCAGAACTACACATGGCTTCCCAAGACCCTATGACCACTCAAGAACTCATAATCTCTCTCTGTCTCTCTCTCTGTCTCTGTCTCTCTGTCTCTCTCTCACACACACACGAGGCTTGTCCCATAAAGCCTGGGGCCACCTAGGGCACTCAAGAACCTCCATGGTCCACCAAGACATCTTAGTGACCCCAGAAAACCTTCACAAACACACAAGAACACCTCAGAAACACTAAACATATGGGACCTGAACACGAGCCACTGAAACCTTCAGCGACCTTCCATAAGAACCCCCTGGACCTTGCCCCAGAGCTACCAGGAATGCTGGCCACCCCTAGCTTCCAGAACCACTCCTTAGTCACCTTCAGTGACTCTCAGGGCCTCTGGGCCTCACCTTACCTTGAGCACCTCCCTCGGCACCTGAGCAGGTGGTGGACGGCTCAATGCGTGGCCCCCAGCAGAAACGCCAACCACAGAGATGGCAGGAGAGGCGGGTGCAGGGCTGGGGAAGGGAGCAGCTGCAGCTTGTTCCCGACGCTCACGCCTCTCCTGCTCTTGTGCCTGGGCCCGCATGAGCTGCTGCCGCAGCAAGATCCTCGATGAAGATGACGATGACATGGCAGGGGTCCTGGAGCCCCCTGCAGAAGACGATGCAGAGAGTGTAGCTGGGGTGGCTGGGGTGGCCTGCAGTGATATTGGGAGGCTGTGGAATGGGAAATATGGGGCCACAGGTAAGCTAGGAGTCTCTTCCCAAGCCTAAGGGGCAGAGCGTGTTGGAGCAGACAGAGGAACCAGGCCTGTTCCCTGCCTTCAGAGGCCACAGTGTGGCAGGGAGACACGAGGACCAGGCCTGGTTGTAGCCCTCTGGGGCCACAGTGTGACAGGACGTCACGGGGACCAGACCCAGTCTCAGTACCCAGAGGTTGCAGTCTGGTGGGCGAACGTGAGCACTCAGTCCTAAGGGAGGAGTGCAGGTGTGAACCTGTGTGCATTAGGAAGCGGAGATGCCGTTGATGGCTGTGAGGAGGGCTTCATCCTGGTTAAAAGCGAGCGGAAGCAGAACCGAGGCTGCGGCCATGGCAGACCATGCAGAGAGCGCCCCTGGGTCCACCTTGAGGTAAGACACGTTCTCAGCCCTCGCGAGTGGGCATCAGACCACAAGGGCAGCCCTGGGCCCCCTCCCTCCCTGTCTGGGCCGCTGGTCCCAAGAGCAGGGCAGTCTTGAAAATCAGAGATTTCACAATCCTCTCTTCCTGCCCCTCTTCCAGGTCCCCTCCCCTCTCTGGAGCCCAGGCCGATGACTCAGCACATTCAGACTTCCAAGCTGGGAGAAACAAAAGACCAGAAAGGGTTCCTCAAAGGCTCAGAGTGGGTGGGTTCTGGCCAGGGAGAGGAGCTGGGCCCAGGCTGTGGGCACGGCCCCGCCCACCTGAGGTGGGCGTCTCAGCAGGCCTGGCCGGCAGGAACACTTGCACAGCGGAGGGTTGCAGGAGGGTGTGCAGGAGCGCAAGGCAGGGGAGGTCCGGCTGGCTCCTTCCGGACCCTCACTTTAACAGCTAGAAAATACAGGCCGCTGAAAATGGGTTGGGTGGGCCCTGGGGCCCTCTGCGGATCAGTGAGGAGGAGCTGAGAAACTGGCAAGGGTGCCAGATGGGCGAGTCATACCTGGAGCGTAAGGGTAGGGGTTGGCTTTTGAGCTCGTAGAAACTGTCCGGATCAAGGATGTTTTCTAATTCAATGTCAGCAACAATCCCAGATTCCGGAAGCAGAGAGTTCAGGCTGCGGTGGAAGGGAGGGAGGGGCAGGAGTCAGTGATAGTAGGGCGCCTTAGTCCCTCCTTTGCCCAGACACCGAAGGCAACCCTTCATGCTGTGAGTTTCACATCTGCTCCTGACCCCTTCCCTCTTTCCCTCTCCCAGGCTGTTTGACCCCTACTCCCCTTAGAGTCAGAATAATAAGACTGCCTGAACCCCAACCCCCTCACTCTAACAACCACAAGCAACAACCTGGGCTTGAGGAAAACAGAATTTAGGAATGATAATTCCCGGCTTTGCATACAGAGCTCTCCCAGCCCCCACACTCCCTACAGTTTTCCTGGCTGAATGTGCGCCTCCCCCCCTACACACACACTCACAGGAGGTAGGGGTGTCTCTCAGCACAACAGCCCCTTGTAACACAAACTGGATATACCACAGGAGAACAGGATAGGGGCTGATGATTCACTTTACCTAAGATCTACCACTCTGCAAGTGAGTTTTTTCCAGCCCCAGCCAGAGTTCATGGGATACCAATACACACCCAAATATAAAAATGGAAAGCTGGGCATGGTGGTGCAGACCTATAATTCCAGCACTTGGGAGGCTGAGGCACGAGGATCACTGTTTGAGGCCAGCCTGAACTGCATAGAGAAACCCTGTCTCAAATAAAATCAAACAATATATATATATAAATGGAAATGTGAGCCAGGTGTGGTTGTGCACATCTGTGATTCCAGCACTCAAGAGGCTGAGGCAGGAGGATCTCTGCAAGTTTGAGACTAGCCTGGGCTATGTAGTGAGTTCAAGGCCAGCCTGAACTACAAAGTGAGACCCAGTCTCAAAAAAAAAAAAAAGGAAACATGAAAGAGTCCCCTTGCTCCAACAGTCTGGATTTACAACACAGAAGATTGTGTTGGATGATCTACCTTCCAAGAGCATTCTTTTCTTAGCTGGAGGAACTTGCCCAGCCCTCTCCTGCTTTTTTGGATACATCAAAACATACACATCCCCAATACCAAGGGCTACCGGCATAAAAACAAGAAGGCAGAAACATTCACTCCCTTTCTTTGTACTGTACCCACCACCGTGATGATCTAGGACTAGACTGTTAGAAGGAATTAGATGGTGAACAGACATGTGGAGAGGCTCCTGCTCAGCCCTCATACCCGGGCCCAGGGCCCTAGTGTCCAGGGAACACTTGCACGTGGATGAATAGGCATCTTTGAGTTTAAAGGGTTAGAAATGATAAATTACAGTTGACTTCTCTTGACAAGAACCCTCTCCCCTCCCCAAGGATTTGTCTTCCTTCCTCTCCTCACCCTCAGATGGGGCCCTAAAACCACCCAGGAAGTTGGAAGAGGAAGCTTGGGGGAGCCGCTGAGCTCAGCACAATCCCAGGCAGGAAGGAGACAAAGCCCAGACCTGTGCTCACACACCTAGTGCACGAAGTGCAAGAGATGGGCGCTGTAGTGGACAGGGGCACGACAGGGAGGGCTGGAGCGCCAAAGTGGGCTGACGGAAATGAGGGAGGGAAACTCACCCAGGTGGGGATGGTGCCACCCATACTCGCTCCAGCTCTAGGGACAGACTCGAGATTCCACCCAGGAACTCTGAGGCTAAGTGGGAGGGCCGGATAAAAACAAGTGGGTATGTGCGGGGAGGGGTCAGGCACGGCTGGCAAAGGCTGAGTAGCGGCTGGAACAAGACCCTCCTCTGTGTTCCTAAATATGGTCTGAGGCCTTTCCTGACCGGAGAGGAAACAGGCTCGCTATGCACTTTCTCCGCCCTCTAGCGACGTCCCATTGAAGCCCCTGCAGGTGTGGGAAGGCTCGGACCTGTGCCCCCGGGGGAGGGGCGGGGGTGGGATTATTCTGGCCAAGTCTTGTTGAATGTGGATTCTTTCGCTCACTTACACACTCGGAAAGCTGCCCTACAGGGCAAATCTGAGACACCCCCAAATCCCCCCAGCTTCATCGTGTCTCCAAACAGCAACCACCACCTGGAGTCATTGAGCTCTCAGAACAGCACCTATCCCCTAGGACCCTAGAATTTTATTAGAATCAGTGCCTCACTTGACAGTGCCCCTTAAATTCACTCCTCTCGTGCGCGACTCGAGGACTCCAAATTCAGCCTCTAATCAGTCCCCCAAATTCAGCGACCTGAGACCAGTTTTTGGATACTCCAGAATCTGCCCCTCCAGACTCAGTCTGGTCCCCCAAATCTGACCCTGCCCCCCTTTAATGCACTCCCATGACTCCTTTAAGCCTCAGTCCAGGCAGGCCACCACCGGACTCCTTAGGTGCCCCCCCAAGACAGGCGCCCGACGTCCTCCAAGCCTAGGCCAAGGGCCTCCAATCCCAGTCTGGAGCCCCCCATACAACTAGATGAGGTCCTGGGAATCCCAATTAGCACTCCCAGCACCAAGCGCCCCGCACCTGAGCAGCTGGGCCGAGTCCGCCGACCTGTGTTCCTCCAACAGCACGAACACTGCTCGAGGGCCCTCAGCGCTGGGCTCTACGCCGTCCCGAGCTGGCTCAGCTTCATGAGACATGACGCCCGGCCCCGGGCGAGCCCTGCCAGGCCGGTCGGGCCTCGGCCCGGTCCCCCTAACAAAATAAGAGTCCCCCTCCCCCTACTCGCCACCGCCTCCTCCCATGCTAAGCCATGGAGCTAGGCTCTGCGCGGGCGGGCAGCGTCGGGGAGATGGGATGGGCCGTGAGTCATCCCCTGCCCTGAACGGACCAACACCCCCCAACACCTAACCCCGGACGACCGCCCTCCTCCCGCTCGTCCTCTTGCCCCTCCTCCTCGGATTGGGGAAACTCCACAGGAAGTGACCACACGGGGGATGGGCAACTCATAGCCACGCCCCCTAATCGCGTCAGCCAATCGCTGGTAGTAAATTTCAAGCTCCGCCCTAAATCTCGCCTTCGAGCCAAGCGAACACTTGCTTCAGCCCATCCTCATTCATAGAAGGGGGCACGCCTTCGGTGGTAGAGGCAAATAAGCGACGGGTAATTTGTTGAGTCACGCCTCTCCGTTTGCGTGCTCCCTGAGCCACACCCTCTCGTCGCAAATTATTCTCCCCCAATATAATAATATTAAGCCGCTCCCTGAGCCCTCTGCGCCTGCGCACCAATGGCCAATCGGCTCTCAGCGGGTCTCCAAATTGAGCTTTTAGCTGCGAAACCGCGCCCCCTCTCGGGCCAGAGTCGTTAACACCTACGATCGAGACAGTTTGTCAAAAAACTTCGATCCAGCAGTGCCTCGTCAGCCGAATCCATAACTACGAGGAAGGACCAGCTATGTTTCCTGGAGATCTCGGCCATAAACCCTGCCCTTCAGTACCCACAGTCCAAAGCCCGGCGTGATGGCGCTCGCCTGTAATCCCAGTACTCGGGAGGCTGAGGCAGGAGGATCGTGGCGAATTCGAGGCCAGCCTGAACTGCATAGCGAGACCCTGTCTCAAAAAGACAAAACACTGGAATCCACAGCTTTCCTCCCTCCTTCCCAACGTCCAAGATCCAGGCATCATGGGACCTCCAGAAACACTGAGCTTGTATTTTCTGGTATTGGAACACTTACTACCCAGGTTTGGTAAACATACACATTCCTGCATAAACACAATCTCATAGAATGGAGGACCCTTTACAAAATTAACATGACAGGTCTTCCCCAAAGTAATTTTTAAAAATCAGTACATTTTTAAATAAGGAGGGGAAAGGGGGTTAAAGAGAGGGTAGGGGAATGGGGAAAAAGTCAAGTTGTATCATGTACAGGTACAAATTCTCTATGATGAATGTGATCATTATGTGTACCTAAAATGTACCAATAAATTTAATAAAAAAAGGGCCAGGCATGGCAGCACACGCCTGTAATCCCAGCACTGGGGAGGCTGAGGCAGGAGAATTGATGCAACTTCAAGGCCAGCCTGGGCTACAAAGTGAGTTCAAGGCCAGCCTCAATTGCATAGTGAAGCTCTATCTCAAAAACCCTCTTAGTGCTCTTTCTCCTGTTACTTGGTCCAAGCTTGGTCTGCAGAGCCAGTCTCTCCCTCCCTCTTCACTTTTACTTTCTCAAATAAACTTGGCTACTGCTTTTTGCTCATCTTATTCCATGCTTTGTTTGAGACAAGCAGAACTTGGACTCTAACTCCAGAGGGAAGGGGGAGCAACCCAGCACCCGGTGATGTTTAGTTCATGAGACACTTTTAGGAGGAGCTACCTGTTAACAGTACCCCCTGATGATGATCTTTGCCACAATCTGCCATTTCGTCAGAGGTTGTAAGAGTGTGATTTTGTATTTCAACATCTTTCTGCTATATTTATTAGATAGAATTCCTCTGTAAAGGACTTTTAAAAAGCCACTCTAATAATCTAGTCTAATTGAGATAAATTTACACTGTTTTTGGCTAACCCCATTTGCTAATAAAGGATCTCTTAAAATATTTCATCCTGTTAATTATATATGGGCATGGTGGTGTACCCCTATGATCCCAGCACTCAGGAGGCTGAGGCAGAGGAATCGTCACAAGTTAGAGGCCAGCCTGGGCTACATAATGAGTTAAAAACCAGCTTGAACTATACAGTGAGACCCTGTCTCAAAAAAGCAAAAACGAAAAAAAATGTGCATCTGAAATCGACAGTTCTCAGATGAATAGAAATGGCCAATAAATACATGAAAAAAATGTTCAGCATTGATGACCATTACAGAAATGCAAATTAAAATAACACTGAGATGCCATCTCACTCCAGAAAGAATGGCTATTATCAAGCCAGGCATGGTGGCACAGGTTTGTAGTGGCACTTAGGAGGCTGAGGCTGGAGGGTTGCTGCGAGTTGAAGGCCAGCCTCAACTGCATAGCGAGACCCTGTCTCAAAAAGACAAAAAAAATGAATAGCTATCATTAAGAAATCAGACAATAACAAATGCTGGTCAGGCTTCAGGAGTCGGGGGTAGGGAGAAACCCTTCTTCATTCTTGGTGGGAGTGTAAACTGGTACACCACTGTGGAAATCAGTATGGATAGTCCCCAAAAAACTACAACTGCAAATTCCATTTAACCTAGCTATTCCCCTTCTAGGTATCTTCCACAAAAATTTAAAGACATGCCACAGTGATGTACGCATACCCCATTTTCTAGCAGCACAATTCATCATAGCTAAATCTCAGAAACAGCCTGTATGTCCATCAGCAGATGAATGGATAAAGAAAATGTTGCCACCATGGCCTGCCATACTGTGCAGAATGAGACCTCCCAGAGATGGGCCACAGACGACATCAAGAAGGTGATGGCACCTGGGTGTGGTGGCACACACCTGTAATCCCAGCACTGGGGAGGCTGAGGCAGGAGGGTCGTTGCAAGTTTGAGGCCAGCCTGGGCTACAAAGTGAGCTCAAGGCCAGTCTGAACTGCATAGCGAGACCCTGTCTCAAAAAGACAAAAAAAAAGAAGAAGAAAAAGAAGGTGACTGCCACCATTGAGAATGTCTGATGATGGGAGAAGCACTGGGTGACCATGGGCAACATTCCCCTTTGTATCTTCAAGTGGGTGCCCATGGTAGACCCCCAGGAGGGGGCGCGATGTCGGGCAGGTGCCAGAGCAGAGAGATCCTGTGGCCAAGAGCACAGGGCAGGGGCACCAGTTCCCGAGCAGGTGGCCCTCTCATCATGCTGGACCACAATGATGAGAACAGCAACCAGAGTTTCCATTCCAAAGGCTCCCTGCAAAAGGGCACTGAGCCCAGCCCTGAGGGCACCCCCCAGCCCAGCTGTCCTGTGTCACCTGCTGGACCCCCAGAAGGGGTCACCAAGGAGGCTCAGCCCCCTCTGCTGGGCCAAGAGAGAAAACCCAAGGTCATGCCTGCAGGCGGGACTGATGAACCTCCATTACTGACCAAGGCGGAGCCTGTTCCACAATTGCTGGAAGCTGAGGCCCCTGACGTTTACCCCATCTTTGATCCAGTGCCACCAGTCCCTGAGGCAGCCCAAGGTGACACAGAGGACTCGGAGGCATCCCCCCCCCGCCCCCCAGCAAGCGCATCTGCCCAAATGCCCCTGGCCGGGAGAACCCAGTCTGCCTGTCCTGTCATCCCAGGGACCCCTTGGCTTTTTACAAATGAAGTCGCTTATGTAAAAAAAAAAAAAAAAAAAGGAGACACTTGAGTCATTTGTAGAAAAACAGATGCACCTTGAGACCATGATGTTAATCAGACACACAATTTAAATATTACATAGCTTCTTTTGTATGAGAAATCAATATATAGATAATGTGTAAAATAAAAGACAGATAATAAGATAAAGAGAGAAAAAATTATTGTAATCCAGCATGGACAAGGTATCTAAATACCTAACCTGGGGCTGGAGATATAGCTCAGCGGCACAGCGCCTGCCTGGCAAGCACAAGGTCCTGAGTTCAATTCCTAGTACCAAAATAAAATAAAATTTAATAAAATGAAAATTAAATACATAACCTGATTTAGTATAATTGTCTTCTCTCTTTTATATGTTTTTTACTGTATTAGTTTGGATGTTAATCTCTATGTATGATGATTAACTTTATAAAGACATAAGATAAATAAATGAATCTGATGCAAAAAATCGGGGTGGATGGGAAGGGGAAAAAAGTACTGAGATATGATATGTATATGTACCAACTGCCCACAAGGAATATAATGCAAATATGTATTAATAAAAATTAAAAATTGAATAAAGAAGAAGGTGGAAGATGCAGTCTTAGCAGATTCAAAATATATTACAAAGCCTTAGTCATGGAACCTGATAAGGGAATACAAAAGAAAACTAGAACCGGGCATGGTGGCCCACATTTGCAATCCCAGTATTCTGGGAAGCTGAGGCAGGAGGATTGAAAACTGAAGTCTATCCTGGGCAACATACTTACTTAGTGAGATGGTATGAAAATAAAACATGAAAAAGGGGTGGAGATGTAGTTCATTGTGAAGGCCCTGAGCTCAGTCCCTACTACTGAAAATAAAAAAACAAAAACTCACCTAGATCAATGGGAAACAAAATCAAAACGCTAACCTGCAACTGTGGGTGTAACTCAGTGCACATGCTTAGCCTGTAAAAGGTCCTGGGTTCTGTCCCCACTTCCAAAACAACCAAAAAGTTGACTTGGATATTTATGTGAATTAGTAAGCAATATTTTGAGTCACTGGGAGAGAAACAGACTATTCACTAAAATGGCTCGGGAGAAATGACTCTTTTGGAGGAAGGGATTTGATTTTTTTCTGAGACAAGGACTTACTGTTGCCCGGGCTGTCCTCAAACTCCTGGGCTTAAGCAATCTTCTCACCTCTGCTTTCCCAGTACCTAGAGCTACTGTATTGATATAGGCCACCATGCCCAATTAGAATGAGATTTCTAATGCACACCATTCAGAAAAACTAATTCTGGATTGATGAAAGGCTGAGACCTGGAGCCCGAGCAAGGATGACATCAAGAAGATGATGGCAGCTGGGCGTGGTGGTACATTCCTGTAATCCCAGCACTCTAGAGGCTGAGGCAGGAGGATTGTCCAAACATAAAAAGCAAAACCATCAAACTATAAAAATATTCAAACAAAATATTTTTGAAGAAATGTGTAAGGTGGCTGGGTACAGTGGTGCACACCTCTAATGCCAGCACTTGGGAAGCTGAGACAGAAGGATCACTGAAAATTTGAGGCCAGCCTAGGCTACATAGTGAGTTCAAGGCCACTCTGAACTACACAATGAGAACCTGTCTCAAAAAAAATGTGTCAGGCAGGCTGGGCATGGTGGCACACATCTAGAACCTCAGCTCTAAGTAGGCTGAGGC